TATAAAACGAGCCGAGTCATGACGGCTAGTTGATTAAAGGAGCATGAGTTCGAACTTGAAATACTCAATTCGAAAAATCTAGCTAGACACATGTAGAAAGAAGTCAAAGTATGAAAATAAATTTTAAATTTAATATAAATTATATGAATCACACAATAAATAATATTAGTTGCATTTATAAAATAAATATTATTAAGCGTGTTTTACATAGAGATTACTCTCCTGTAACGAAAACTTTTGAATTTAGCTATTCTGATTTTATGCATATGACAAATATTTATTTTAATTGTTTCATTATTTTTTCTTTAAAAACAGAGATACATTTCTCATGTACTTGAATTTTAATTAGAAAACAACCTAACTTATTAAAAGAACTACTATAAAACAGTGTAATAATCCAATCATTCTTGTTATATGTCATGTCATTTAAAGAACGTATGTCATTAATTGAATTTGTTACAAAGTAAATGAGATTTAGTAGTATTTCGTATAATCAACTATCATTTCTTTAAAAAATCATTTATTCAAGAATTTAGTGAATATATAACCTTGATTGTGAAATCTACATATTTAATTACATATTAAGTATTCTAATGAAAGTCTAAGACAATCAATATATTACTTCGAATAAAATTATTTAAATAAAATTTATTTAATCAAATAATAAAAAATAAACAAAAAAATGATATAAAAGGGGCATAATAATAGTGGAAAGAAAATTAAATCATGTTCAAATATATAATTCACTGATTTAGTGTAAAATAAATTTAACTTATTTTGAGCCAAAATAAAATTATTACTGGGCTAATTTAATGTAACATGGGCTAAAATATTTTTTGACCATTAAAAAATTAACAGTGCCAAAAAATTAAGACTGGGCTGGAACTCATCCAAACTTTTGAGGTGGCTCTGCCCCTGGGCAAGGCCAGTTGTATGTGGATATTTCCTATGTCACTAATCAATAGAGCTTGATAATATTAGTGTGCGAGAAGGATGGTGTGCCTACGAAACAAAAATCGTTGTATACAAAGAGGTTTGTTATAATATATAATAATTTATTTAGTCTATTTATTTAATTCCTTATATTCACAAATCTATATATATATATATATATATATATAAAGGTTTGGCATTTTCCTGAAATAGTAACTAAAAGCCCGCCTAAAATTTCAGAATTACTAAAATAAGTAATTTTTTTAAAAAAAAATTAAAATATCCTGCCTAAATGTGTTTTGAAGATTTTTGAAAATAAATGAAATCAAAACATTTAAAGAAAGCAATCACNTTCTTTGTTGTTTATCAACATTGTTGTGTTCTTTGTATATAATGTATTGTGTTGATCATTTTTTTATATCTAATATATGACATCCATATTGTAAATATAAAATAAAAAATAAATAACTATTGTAATTGTATAATAAAACTTGAGCTTAATATTGATTTTAAAAATAAAGACAGTACAAGAAATGATGAAATTCCAGCGAAAATATATCCCTATAGAATTCTATTAACAATTTCAATGGATATTCCAATTCTATTATTGTCGTTGGAATTTTTCAATGGATCCTAACGAAAATTCCAGCAAAAGTATTCCATTAGAATGAGTAATCTGTTAGATTATGACAATTCCAACAGTTGAAATATGAGTGAAAAAAAAAAATTCAACGAAAATTGCATATTATAATAGAAGTTCATATGATAATAAACAACTAGAAAAATAGTCGTTGAAACAGTCAAATTCTTTCAAAAACCCCAATGGAATATTTTTATTCGATATTTTGTTGGAATCATTCCAATGTGAGCTATAGTATTGGAATATCAGTTGGAATTTCAATTGAAAAATATTACCATTGAATTTTCTGTTGGAATATATCAATTTTTTTAGTAGCGTAAAGGTATTTCATAACATAGAATTTAAAAGTCCACTAGATAAATATTCACAACATCCAGAATAGTATTAACAAATATAAACCAACAAGTATACATAGATTTAGAAGGATAAATTAACGAATCGTTTATCGAACAACCATATGAATTATCGTCTGAAAAAAAAAAAAATAGTCAGTTTATTCATGATTCGAGCTAACAAAACCAGATCTACTTTCTTCTACTTCGAACGGTCTCTAACCCTACAAGAACTCAAGGCCAGAAAGGGGGTTTCTTCTACCTCCTAAAATAATAAAATAATTAATAATTTATCAATTACCCATAAAGATTAAACTTTGCAACTTTAAATAATATGTATTACTTCTATTTTAAATTAAATATAGTTTCAGATATTTAATTTTATTTTCAATTTTATTTTTTTAATTAGAATACTTATCACAATTTTAAAAAATTAACACTTTTTATTTAAAAATAAAAAAAATTATTGTATAGTATATTAATAATGTAGAGAGAAAAAAAATAATTAGATGTGCATAATATAAATACTCTAGCCATCATAATTCAGACATAATATTTACTTTAAAAATGATTGAATGCAAATATGCATCAAGTATTATAGGAATTTTATAAATTATAAAAAAAAAATAAAAAGAAAAGATAAAAAAATAATAAATAATAGTATTATAGTATTTCAATATTCGTTCACGATCTAATGCATGTGGATTAACATTAAAAGGGTTTGAATTTACTTGAAATATTATATATAGATACAAATCTCTCTCTATATATATAAATGTATGTATTTACTTGAAATAAAAACTAAAATCCCGCCTAAAAGCTTTAAAATTACTAAACTTGGTAATCTTTTTTAAAAATTTTTAAAAAAATTCCACCTCTAGAAATTAATTAATCAATTTATGGTAAAGTTGAAAAAATTAATAAATCCGATTGTGGTGTAAAATGGGAGATTTTATTTTAGGTATCTAATTGCCATTTTTATCTTTTGTAGGAAATATGTTGTTATTAATAAATGTCCGATTTTATGGTATAAAATGGGCTTATTTTGGTATGAAATATTTAAAACTAAATTGTATGAATTTCATTTCGTCAAAGTGTATTTGAAAACTTTGAAAACAAAATAAGTGGTATGAATTTTATTTGGTATTGATACGAAATCAAGGTGATATGATATGAATTTTATTTGGTATTGATACGAAATCAAGGTGATATGATATGAATTTTATTTGGTATTGATACGAAATCAAGGTGATATGACTCTCAAATTTTATTATATTCCCATAATAACTTGCCATAAGATATTGATGATAATTCGGCAAATTGATATGTATTCCTCTTGAAATTCAAAAGATCTTTGAACAAATGTTAATTAATAAAATTTAAAATTTATAATTTAATTCTAGAGAAATAGTTGATAAATTTGAATGATAAGGTAAAAGACAACAAATCTAGGAAATTGTGGGATAGTATTATATATATATATATGAAATATATAAGGGAATTTATTGTGTATTCCAAATTTGGGTTCCAAATTTTTAAAAGTCAAATAAGTAATTATTCATACTTACGGGACAATATTAACTTGGATGTAAATGGAATAGTTAATTATTTATAGTTTAATAAATTCCTCAACTACTTAATTTTTTTACTTGGATAGTTTATACCAAAATATTCATTTTTAATTAATAAAATATTACAAGTTTTATAATTATACTTATTATTCATAGATTTTTAAATATATGATAACTTTTCACTAAAATGTTTATTTTAAAATGGAATCACATTATAGTCAATTGATTTTTTGAATAAAAAATTTAAAATAACACTTATTTTGACATGAATATATGTTATATCTATTTTGGGATTAAATATGTGTAATTGATAAATTGGGTCATTATGTTGTTTAGCAAAATTAAGTGATCAAATTATTGTACACAAATATTAGCTAATAAACTTAATTTAGATTGTGGAATGATTAAATGTGGACACTCGATAATTTTATTATCTGGTGACGTAACAAATAATAATATTAAACTTAATGACCTAATTAACAAATATTTTGAATCAAAATTATTTAATGGTGGAGTCCCCAGAAGCCGTGATAAATACAAGGGGGTCTTTTGGAATTCTTCATTAAGGTATAAGAATAATAAAATTGTTCCTCACGACTCTTCGTCAGTTTATCAATTTTTTTATCTTCGTACGTCAGAAGAGAAGAGTTATCGGGTTCACGGCTTTTTGGAAGAACTCTAAATACTAAATCCGAAATCCAAATTCAATTTCAGTGTAATCAATCGATATGAATCCATTAGGTACGCTTCCGTTATTCGATTATGATTCTCGATTATTCTATATATATGAATGTTTAAACGATTTATTTCGCATAAGGTTAAATCCGAATTCTATCAATATAATGTAATTTATTATCAGTTACGTGCACCGTATGTGTTGTATACTAATTTTAAATAGACTTGATTTATGTAATTTTACACAATTTAAATTTTATATAATATTTTTAATAAATTAATATAAATAAATTATATTATATATTCATTTCGTATTTTTAATTTATAAATATTATTTAATAAAAATTTTTAATTTATATATATTAATAAATATCTCTTACTCGTGCATCGCGTATGATATAATAGTAATAAACTTTAGTAAGTTCCCTTAAAATCTTTAAAATTGTCAACCACGTCGCGCTGCAATAATTCAGTATTTTAACCGTCAATAAGTTAAGATATTGAATATGCTCTAACTGGAATCTCCAAAGTGATTATGGACAGCCACAGAAAGTGCTTAAATATGTCTCGACAGTTGTGTCATCGTGGAAACCCGGTCAACCCTCAACTACCACCAATATACTCCGAAAAAACCTCTCAATGAAAAAAGGAACACATTAAAGTTCCATCTCTACCCCTCCTAAAATTAAAAATAACCCAAAAAATAATGGTTCTAGTTTGAGGCTTCCAGCCTCTCTTCGATCAACCCCATCATCACCCTTTCCCTCCTCTTTTTCATGACCAGAAAAGTGGTGAATCCCTGTTACAATTAGCTACTGCAACAAATCAATCACAAAAACCAAAGAAAAAATGGAAAGAAACACCCTCGACCAACACAATAGCTTCAACAAAAATGCCCAAACTCATCAGCTCCCACCTAATGATACACAAACACCAGATCACCGAGAAAACACCGACAAAGTCATAAAAGATGTTGACGAATATCTCTACGTGCTCTCGTCCATCGACGACAAATCATCCGGCCCACCCGACGTCCCCGATTTCGTCACAGTCCTTTGCGAAACGTTGGAATCCATGATTACCACCTACACCACCGACCTCATCCGATTCGGAAAGATCCCTCGCGATAACTCCCACTTTTTCGAGTTGGTCGCTCGTGCCTCCCGTCTCACCAACTCGCTCAGCGAGTTCCCCACGAGTGGTGGCATCAACTCGGCCATCAACCGAACGAGCGTCACCTTGCAGCACGCCATGGCATTCCTCGAGGACGAATTCCGGGCTCTGCTTGAGCCCGACGACGACGTCAACCTCGATCCACCCCAGAACCTCAACAAATCATCCTCTTTCAATAATGATAACACAAAATCAACCGATTCCGATCATCACGAGCAGCAGCACCATCCAAAAGAGTGGGAGGTGGCCCTTATGCGCGACATCGCAAACGCGATGATCTCGTGCGGGTACGAGATGGAATGCTCCCAGGCGTACTACCTCGCCCGAAGGGCCGCAATTCACACCCGAACGACGACAGTCTTGAACATGGATGACGTGGTTCGGATGCCGTGGGAGTCTCTCGAAACCGAGATCAGCCGTTGGATCAACCTCGTACGGACATGGTCAGTGTTCATCCTCCCTTCCGAGGTCCGCCTCGGAGAATCCATCTTCTCCGACCACCCTCACGTCCACTCCTCGCTCCTCGCCAGCATCGTCCGCGTCGTCGTCATTCAGCTCCTCGACTTCGCCGAGGCCGCCGCCATGGCCCGCCGCTCTGCCGAGAAGCTCTTCAAGTACCTCGACATGTACGAGGCTCTTCAAGGGCTTCACGGCGAGCTGCCTGACGAGGTCTCGGCAACGGCCGAGCGCATTGGAGAATCCGCGAGCGCGATCTTCTGCGATCTCGAGAGCTCCATCCGAGACGACGCCGCGCAGACGCCAGTCCCGGGTGGCGCCGTGCACCCGCTCACGCGCTACGTCATCAACTACCTCAAGTACGCATGCGAGTACCGCGACACGCTCGACAAGGTTTTTGCCGGGCGAGCCACGCCTTTTGCGGTCCGAGTGGCGACGCTGATGGAGCTCCTGGACGAGAATCTGGAGCAGAAGTCGAGGCTGTACAAGGATCCGTCGCTCAGATTCGTGTTCCTTATGAACAACGGGCGATACGTGCTGCAGAAGGTGAAGGGGTCGAGCGAGATTCGGGAGGTGATGGGAGACACGTGGTGCAGGAAGAAGTCGACGGAGGTGAGGACGTATCACAAGAGCTATCAGAGGGAGACGTGGAATCGGGTGCTGCACTGTCTGGCTCATGAGGGGCTCGTGACAAACGGGAAGCCGAACAAGGCTCTGCTCAAGGAGAGGTTCAAGATATTTACGGCGATTTTTGAAGAGATTCATAGGACGCAAAGCGCGTGGGTGGTTAGCGATGAGCAGCTTAAGTCGGAGCTTAGGATATCGGTGTCGTCGGTGGTGATCCCGGCTTACCGCTCGTTTGTTGGGCGGTTCAGGCAGTACTTGGAGAGTGGGAAGCAGGCGGACAGGTATATAAAGTACCAGCCGGAGGATATTGAAGGCATGATTGAAGGGCTGTTTGANTCTACTAGTGAGAATCCTATTGCACGCCGATTTCATACCTTAGAACATTTTTTAAAACTTAATTTTAACAATATATTAGTCCGTTGACCCGTTTATGTTAATATAAATAATATTGTAATATATATTTATTTTTTAATTAAAAAAAATAACAATTTTAAATATTTTAGTTCATCATAATACTCAAATATTATTTTATTAAAAAATTTATTGTCGTATAATATCATTATTATTTATAACAGTTATAGAGGTAATATTCTTTATTTATATATATAATGATAAATATTTAATGTATGTTAGTACTATTATTTATTGATGTAATTAATTAAAAAATATATAAGCAAATCTAATGTTTGTGGGGAATGTGATTATATGTGAGTTAAGATAAAATGAAATATATTCAAAAAAATATGCTTATGATATTTTTCTTTAAATGTTTGATGAATTTAAAATTCAAATTACAAATCAACCGTCAATTTTTCACATAAATTCAGAAAAGTTACAAATTGTAGTAAAATAAAAATTATTAGGTGAGATTTTACTGTATACTTGTTGACATCCGAATTTGTCCCCAAAGGAAGCCGAACAAGGCAACTTCGAGAATCGGGCCGGGGACCCGGTCAAGCATGTAGGTGCCGAGCTGAACTCCAAAAACTTTTTGGTCCTGACACTCCCATGAGTCCGTCCGTTAGCCCGGCGTTTGAGACAGTAAAGTTCCAGTGCCGGCCTGACTAATGACGACCTGGAAGAAGGCTCCCCGTAACTGGAGGAACAAACCGGGAAAAGGTGCCGACCTGGGGTCTCTGAATGGGCCTCCAATGAGGAATGCCGATTTCGATAATAGTATAATAATGCCACTTGGAGAGTAATCATTGGTGATTGGACGCGTCATCCTAGCCTGCTGACCTATCTGCCCTAGCCAAGACATAAAGCCTGCCAACATTAAATGATCTCCATGTGCGCATTAAATGCCTGCCAGACAATGATGAGGAAAACCTCAAATCGCATTAAATTCTGTCAGGGAGGCGCCGGACTGCTCTGCAAGAACACTGTATGACAAGACTGGTGAACAGTACCTGAACAGTGTCACATTTAAAGCCACTATAAATAGCAGCCCATTTCATTTAGTTGGGGTTGTTGGATCTCAACTGTCTGAACTCTCTCTACTTTCTCTCTCTAAAACTCGTGTAAGAACTCTGTAAGGATTTGTAAGTACATCGCAAGTGCCGACCTCGTACGAGAGGCCGACCTCGTGATCTCTTTATAAAATAGTAATTAAGCCATATTTCTCTGTCTTTTTCCCATTACCTTTCCATTACTTAACTTTTTAACCGTTGACCGGAAACGTCCGTCAACAGTTTGGCGCTAGAAGAAGGGCACCATAAGTTATTTGGTGTCAACTTTTCGATCTTGTGAAGCTCCACTTCGCACTCATCTTTTTCCCACTCTTTCCACTTCCAAAAACAACTCAAAATGCCTTCATCCGGTCGTGATGACTCCACCCAGCAGTCCGGCTCCCAGCCTCGTGGCCGTAACGGCGAGGAAACCTCCCGTCGTGCTCAGCAGGGACCTATAGTCCCAGTTCCACCAGTCCCTATCTTTGTTGCGGCTTTGCAGCACCCTGATGTCCTCAAAGCCCTCGAGGGGGTCTTCGTCAAGGCCCTCGCCAGTCAAACCGCCGGGGCAAACACCGTGGTGCCCACGGAGAACCCCGGTAACACCCTGCTCCACACTCCCGAGAAGGAGACCGGGGGGCAAAGGAACCCGACGAAATCCAAAACCACGGCTCAGTCACCGAACCGCGAAGCTCAGAACCGCCGTGACAAAAGCACCAGACCGGCTCCTACCGAACAGACCGGGGAGAGCCGGCCGGAGCGAAGCCTCCAGGTCGTTCGCCGCTCTGTCCACCAACGCTTGGGCGACAAGAGCCAAGCCAACCATGATCTCCGGGAGGTGATCAGGCAGGGCAAAGCCATCGGGCACGACACTGAGGAAGTCGCGGCCCTCAAACGCATAATTGCCGAACTGGAAGGTCGGCAGCCCACCGGGACTGAGTTTTCACTCCCAGCTCAACCACAGACTCGTACGCGACCCACTCCCCGGGTCGTGGACCACGCCTCGCCTCTTTCCCCCAACATCCTACAAGAGGCTGTCCCGAAGCAGATCCAAGTACCCCAGCTCGGCCTCTATGATGGGAGTTCGGACCCCGACTCCCACATCGGTCTGTACACCTCGTGGATGGACCTGCACGGCGCCTCTGACGCCCTGCGCTGCCGCATGTTCTCCTTGACATTGGGGCCAAAGGCGCAGAGATGGTATCATTCTCTTTACCCCCATTCCATCTCCACCTTTGCCCAGTTCAGGTCGGCGTTCCGGTCGCACTTCATCGGATCGCAGGTCAACCTCGCCCCCAAAGAGTCCATCTCCAATATCGTTCAGGGCGAGAACGAGAGTCTCAAGGACTACATCGCTCGGTTCAACGACCGGGTTCAAAATATGGAGCGGTGCCATCCCGACGCCCTGCTAATCACTGCTCAGGGCGGTCTGAGACCAAAAACGCTGTTTAGGTGGTCCCTATGCCAGAATAAGCCGACCACCTACCAGGAGTTCCTCGTCCGCGCCCAAGATTACATAATGGCGGAGGAATCTTCTTTCATCCCCACATTCGACGCCGCGTCGACACCAACGAAAGCGAAGTCGAAGGAAGAAAATTCGGGGAAGCCGGGCAAGTCGTTCGCTGAAATCCGAGCTCAGCAGAGACAAAGGGCTGAGGAACTGAAAGAAAGTTACCAAGGCGTCTTCTCGGTGGGAGCCGCGGCGGTCTACGAGGAGATCAAGGCCAAGGGGTTGCTACCGGACCCCAAACCGATGTTCACCGACAAGGACAAGGTAGACAAGACCCGCTACTGCTCTTACCACAAGGCGCACGGGCACAATACCGACCAGTGCCGAAACCTGATCTCGGCATTGCTCAAACTAATCGATGACCCCCAGCTTCGGAGGTTCACTCACTCCGGAGACAAGAGGAAGAAGGGGGGCCGCTTTGGGGAAGGCCAAGACAGCGACGAGGATGCCGACGTCAATCCTCGGAGGAAGAAGCCACAGCAGGGTGGCCCCCACGAAATCATGACTTTCTGCCCCACCCACCAAGACGAGGCCGGCACCTCTAGGGGCAGAAAGAGAGACCGGTCCCCACGCACCGGGGCCGACCCGATTGACTACCCAACCCGGCGCGTAAACACGAGCCGGAGCGAGTCCCTCCTCTCCAGGAGGCAAACCAAGGCCTATGCCCGCCAGGCCTATCATGCCGGGCAAGGGGTGATGCACGCCAACAGCAGACCGGTGCCAGAGCCGACCCCAAACACCATCACCTTCACCGATGAGGACGCCTTCCTGTTTGATCACCCCCACTCCGACGCCTTGGTGATCGCGGCGCCGATCATGGCGATAAAGATCCATCGCATCATGGTCGACACCGGGGCCTACGCAAGCATCCTCTACTACGAGACCTTCAAGAAGATGGGGATCGATAGGAAGGAAGTGCAGCCCTGCCGGGAACGGATCCAGGGCTTCAACGGGCAGACCATCGCCCCTGTCGGTCAAGTCACGTTACCAATCCGATTCGGGGAGAAGGGGCAGCCCACGAAGACAATCCTAGAGACTTTCAAAATCGTGGATTGCCCGAGCGAGTACAACGCCATTCTGGGGAGGACGACCCTCTACAAGCTGAAGGCCGCTGTCTCCATATTCCATTATGCCCTCAAGTTCTCGACTTCCGACGGGGAAGGGACCCACCGCGGGGATCAGAGAGAGGCGCGGGAATGCATCCTAACCATCCCGCGCACGGAGATAAATGCGGCAGACCCCCTGGTCGACGCCGAGACGGTGGACGTCGGGTCGGCACATGATGGTCTTGGGGGCAACCGCATGCTGGGAAACCAGACAGGTTTGAACCCATTGACCTCACATAGTGCCGACCCCGCCAGCGCCGAATCTGAGACAGAGACGAGCGGTCCAATCCCAGATGCCGGGCCGGCTGGTTCCCACCGGGGAAGCGACCGCATGCCAGAAAGTCAGACAGGCCCGCTCCCCCCGGCTGACGAAAGTATCGACCACACCGAGGGAAACTCCGAAGCCGACCTCGACACGGACAGGGGGAGAAGGGCCGGCAAAGGGCCAATCATGGAGGAGGACGAGCTCGACCCCCGAACTCAATACGAAGAGAAGCGAGGAACGAAGAGGGCCAAGCCTATGGACGAGGTAGAAGTCATCTTCATTGATGAAGAGACTTGCCAGAAGCAACTCCGGATCGGGAGCAAGTTGCCGGGGCCTATGAAGGACGAGCTGATCAAGTTCCTCTGGGACAACGCAGACGTCTTCGCGTGGACCCACGAAGACATGGTCGGCATCAACCCTCGGGTCGCATGTCACCGGCTGCAGGTCGACCCCACGGTCAAGTCGGTCGTGCAAAAGCGAAGGAAGCTTGGCCCGGATCGACAGCAAGCCTTGGAAGAAGAAGTGATCAAGCTCAAAGATAACGAATACATCCACGAGGTCCGGTACCCGACCTGGGTAGCCAACCCGGTACTCGTAAAGAAAAGCAGCGGAGCATGGCGCTTGTGCATCGACTTCTCCGACTTGAACAAGGCATGCCCCAAAGACAGCTACCCACTCCCCCACATCGATTACATGGTTGACGCAACCTCGGGACACGAGCTGATGAGCTTCATGGACGCGTATTCCGGCTACAACCAGATCCCCATGCATCCGGATGACGAAGAACACACCTCCTTCTACTCGGCACGTGGGCTCTATTGCTACACAATGATGCCATTTGGGCTGAAGAACGCCGGGGCCACCTATCAACGCTTAGTGAATAAAATGTTTGCTAGTTTCATAGGTGAATGTATGGAAGTGTATGTAGATGACATGTTAGTCAAATCCGTGT